CTATCTCAAAATTCGGTTCAAAAACGCCCTATCTCACCACATTTTCAATACATTTTCAAATGAGGTAGGGCGTTTTTGAACCGAAGTCTGAGATAGGGAATTTTAGTATGTATGTATCTTAAAATTAATTTTTTTTGTCAAATTCTAAACAAAAATTGTTAGAAATTTTTCGCTACAACACCAAATGTTTTAATAAATAATTGGTGAAATCATTTGAAAATGTTGCAGGAGATGTACATGTATGTATCTATGTTACATTAGGAGCACTCATTGAAATTCAAACTGATTTTTTCAAGAAATTGTTCAAGGAAATTAATATTTTTACAAAAAGAAGCTAACATCGAATCTAATTGGCCACTACATAAATATGGCATCTAAATACGGCAAAAAAAAAATAAATAAAAATAACTGCGCCTGGACCACACTGGAGAAATTAATTATACGATACATATGTATCTAGTTGGCTCGTAACGAATTTATGTACATATGCATTTTTTTGGTTCAAAATTGTGAATAAATTGACAGGCTAGTTAATTTAATGTTATAAGCTTAAGGTTGTATTTTATCTTTTTTCTTTATTTATACCTGATTTTATCGTTCAAATTACATTTATATTATTCTGTTTCCTGTATCTTAATTTTTATCTTTATACTCTTTTCTTCATATAAAAGTAAAGTGTTTAAATTTACCTTGGCCTTCATCTTTGTTTTTATTTTTAATTTCTTTGCTTTTATCCTTTTCTTCATCTAAATATTCACCTAGATGCTGTGAGGTGCGATGACGCGATATGTATGATAATCATGTGATGTGATGTCATGTCAAATCATGTGATTTAGTGTCATATGATGTCATGTCATGTAATGTCAAATCGTGTGATCACATGTTATGTGCCGATTATTATATCGATTACAATATCGGTAACTGTATCGATAAATATACCAACGACGACATCGGTATATCGATAGATATATCGATAACAAGATCGACTAATTAATTGATAGTAACATCGATAACAAAACTTATAACAAATATCGATAGCCAACCAACTGCCGACTAGGAATGACCAACGAATAAGAATGCTCTCATCATTCTGCGGAATTTTTCCGCCATGCATGAAGAAATGTTCACATTTCCTACAGAGGCCAGCAGCGCTGCAAAGTGGCTCAAAACTGGCATACTGCTCATAATCCACTGGAGCCTTAATTTTTCAATCAATTTTTTTAAACGAAAGCTTATAAAATTTGCAAGAGGCCAGTTGAGTCCGAATTTTGAATTTTTATTTGCTTATATTAAACTTTGTAGTGCAAACTGCAGAAAAAGTGTCAATTTTCAAGAATATCGACTCTTGTTCCAGTTAATGTTAAGTAATAAAACTAGTTGAAAACAATTTTAGGGTTCCCCCAAAACGAAAAAATAAATTATACCGGAAAATTTTTTTATGTTTACAAAAAAAAATCACTAAAAGAAAATTTCTTTATTTTTAGTTTTTAGAAAAATTTGGGTATGCAGTTTTATAGATAGATTATAGATAGATTGAAGTGCAAGCCGCAAGCTGCCGAGAATTCGCGTTAATTTTTTGTGAAACAATTTTTCTTGTGAATTTGATTTCGATTTGAGGGAACCCCACAATGGTTTTTAAATAGATCTTGTTATGCAACATTTACTAACTAGAGAAGGAGAATCGATTTTCTCCAAAATTGCTATTTTTTCTGAACTTTTCACTTAAAAAATTAATATAAACAAATAAAAATTCAAAACTATGGGTCAACTGGTCTGTTGCTAATTTTATAAGCTTTCATTAAAAATTAAAGCTCCGGTGAATTATTAACAGTTACAGGTCTATTCTGCACGTTACCGAAGATTTTGTAACCGTAAAATTGTATTACCAAAAAATGTTACCAGTTCTTGTCACCGCGATTCTAGGTACGTTGGTAATGCAGTTAAAATATTCAGCAATTCAGCTATGAAGAATTGTGCAAATCCTGGCATTGCATATTTTACGGGGCAATAATTTGTTACCAGCTTATGAGATGGTAACAAAATTTCCCGGTTACAAGAGTACGCAGAATGCGAAAAGGTTTTAAAAATTGACAGGAACTTTATTTACCGGTTACAAACTTCATATTACCAGCGCAGAATAGAGCTGTTAATTCCAGTTTTGAACCACTGTGCACTGATATGTACTTAATAGTTTTGCATACGAATATTTAGCAAATTCTTCAATATTCCACCACAGCAATTGACGTCAACGATATTTATTATTGTTATCCGATAAACAATTTATCGTAGTTCCCTTAGACATACAGTGGCGAGAATATAAATACGAACGCGACATTTTTAAAAGTTTTGGCTATTTTTGCTTTACTTAGTTTTTTTTTTTTTATATATAGTATATATGTTGCTGTTGCCCGCTGTGGCTGAGTGAGTAGAGTGGATACCACCACTACGTAGGAATAGGGTTCGATCTCTGATCCGAGTGTCATCTACATAAATTGAAAAAAAACAGTTTTTTCTATCAGCCGTCACCCCTCGGCGGGCAATGGTAAACCTCCGAGTGTACTTCTGCCCTAAAAAATCTGCTCATAAAAATACAATTGCCGTTCGGAGGCGGGGTAAAACTTTAGGTCCCTCCATATGCGTAACAGGATCAAGACTAGGGGTGGTAATTTTTTCGATTTTCGCGATCCGTGGGATTTTCGGGACATCGTTCATACAATCCCGGGATTACTGCCGGGATTTATATATTCATTATTTTCCAACAACTAAACATGAGAAAATTGCATCAATATAGTTTGAGAAGCTGTCCTACCATATAATAAGTAATAAATAAACGGGTTTGAAATCCACTTTATTATTTAAATTGAAAAATATTTCATTAGTAACAGAACAAAGCTAATTAAATTTATATGCATTTAGCAATACTTTAGCGCATACATATCTGATAAAGTAACATACGGCATGTCGAAAGAAACGCGGCAAAAGTGGCAAAAATAAAAGAAACGCCATTTTTCAACCATTTAGTATTTATTTCATTTCTTTAATTAATATTTAAATTTTTTTTATAACAGTCTACCTCATTTTACATATAATTAACTGCATTTAAATGCGCATTTCAAAATTGGTACAAAAAATTATAAATTTTCAAACTTTTTAATCAGCATTTTTAGAAAAATTTGTGGTACGCAGTTTTATAGCCCATTAAATTAAAGTAGGATAAAATGCAAGTTTCATGCATTTACAAAATACCATTGAGTTTTAGGAATGTTTTAAACCATGCTGGTCATTTTCTTTCATATAAATAAATTGTCGAACATACTTTGTAGGGGAAAAAAAGGCGTGACACCCATAGCAAAAAAAAAATATAAAAAATCAACTTTACTTTTAGTCACTTGAAACTTGCACTTTATCCTCCTGTAATTTAATGGGCTATACTTATAAAATTTCGTACCTCGAAGTTTTCTAAACTTTATGAGTAAATAGATTGATACAGGTTGGAACAATAACAATTGAAATTCAGCAATCAATATACTCACTACACTACGGGCCAGATATAGTAAAACTGCGTTTTTGGTTTCAGAATTTGTTTTATAAGAACTTTATAATTTCAAAGATAGGTTAAATTCTAAAAATTATTTAAAAAATTCAGTGCAATGTAGAATATAAAAAGGGGTACCAAAAAAATCTGTAGTATTTACAAAAATTAAAATTGTTTGGATTCACAAGAACGAATAGGTATTGAAAATGCCATTTTAATCAATTTTATTTTTTTAAACTAATAAAGTTAGAAGGACTGCATATAATTTTTTCTACAAAAATATTGCAAAATTGCAAAGTTATTCAAGGATAAAATCTTTAAGGACAGAGTTTCTTTTTAGTTTTATACTTATACTGTTTTCCAAAGTATATTGCACTAAATTTTTTAAATCATTTCACTGCATGTATTTGACCCATGGCTTCGCCAATATATTGATTGATGTAAAATTGCTTGTCACACGGTGTTATGTGCATGTATAATTAGCTCTACATTTATAAAAAAATAGTATTTAAATATTAAATGAACAAAAGAAATATAGCAAAACCTTGTTAACATAAGCCGTTTCTATTATTGCCACCATTGCAAATTACAAATCCCGAGTGAGGAATTAACCGATCTGGGCGGGGTTGTTGTAGCCGCTACAACAACAACAACAAAAAATCCCATATCTTAAAAAGGCCGGGCTTTCGGGATCCCGGGATTAACATTCCTAATCAAGACACATCCAGACCGAAAGAAAACAATGTAGTAATTTTTTGTTTGACACAGTTTAGGCAAATACAATTTTTTGATAGCGAGACGTGGGCACAAACTAAATCGGAATTTTGTACTCAACGACGTCTATGGCATCATGCTTCAATACGTAGTCACCAAATCACAAAAAAATCGGCCAATTTATGGCATCGTATATCAAATTCTTTTGAAAGTAGTACTGGCGCAAACTAACTTCAAAGTAAGCAATCGAAAATAGCTGGTTGTTATAATAAAGTTTATTTGATAATTTGATTGTACGTGACCATTGAAATATACTGATGTGAGTAGCGAAAAACCTTCTCATACATTTACATAAATGTAAATAAAATACAAAAATGCCTAGTAAGTGTGCACTTAACTTCCTTATTTAAAAAAATGTACCTCTTATCAACCTTTATGACCCGATATGCGGGTGTCATAAATGTTTCATAACACCGCTAAAATCCATTAGACTAATCGGAATGTCCAATAATGCTTCATAAAGATAGCAAATGCGAATTAAACGAAACAAATTTCTCGACGCCCGCAGACACCGCTTAGATCCACAATCCAATCTGAAAAGCACTACAATCAATCACTTGCCTATCACGTAAATTGCAAATCGATATTACTGATAGCCAAACCCAAGTCAATTTGAAGACCTTAAAAATGACCCACAATAAATTTCTTTTGAGTATTTCGTTTCTTGAGCTGCGGCCGTTTAGTTCACGAAATGATCCACACTAAAGTTAAACTGAACGTTGTCCTTTTGGCCACATTGGCCCTAATTGCCTCATCTGTATTAGAGACCTCAGAGGCATCAGTAGCTCATCTGCCGCCGCAGGACATTGAAAGTCCAAGCGATCATATCGTTGAAAAAGAATCAGGAATTGATTATAGCGTGCGTGCTGATGGCAATTACCGCTTGCCAAACAACACCGAGCCCATACATTACGACATCGAATTGACAACGAATGTGCATAACGGTACAAGAAATTTTACCGGCAAAGTTCAAATTCTGATAACGGTTACCGAGGACACAAGAACCATTGTAGTACATGCGCGTCAACTTGAAGGCTTCCAGGCCACCATTAAAAAATGCAAGCCAAGCAAATGCAATTGAGTATGAATTGAGTTGGTCATACGAATCCGAAAGGGAATTCCTTAGTCTAACACCAGTAAACGCAAGTCTTAGCCTTAACAAAGATACTAACTGGACTTTGACTATTGCGTATAATGGCCAATTGCGAACCGACGCTGGAGGATTTCATCGACTTTCCTACACTGACGAACTCAATCAAGTGCAGTAAGACAATAAGAAATGCATAATGAAATCACATATATATATTGGTCTAATTGCTAAAAATAAATTTTTTACTTACAGTTATATGGCAACAACACAATTCGAATCCACAAATGCCCGCCACGCATTTCCCTGTTACGATGAACCAGCCAAACGCGCCACCTTCACAATAACCATCAAACACGATCCTTCGTATAGTGCAATATCCAATATGCCGATAAACGAAACCGCCAGCTCGTAAGCATACAACTTTAAATTTAGTGTTATATAAAAATGTGTTACCTTAAAAATGGTCTCTCTTTGCAGAACTGGTGTAACGGTCTTCGATAAGACAAATGTGACTGTCTCCACATATTTGATTGCTTTCCATGTGTCCGACTATGAATGGTCTGAAGGTGTGTTGCATTCACTGCCACACCGGCTCTATTCGAAGCCGGGAACTGTTGACAATCATGAATTCGGTCTACTCTCGGGTATATTGATCTTACAGCGCTTGGCCGAGTACTACGATGTGCCTTTTGCGCTGCCGAGAATGGTACAAGTGGCAATACCTGGAAAGGGTGGCGCTATGGAAAATTGGGGATTGGTCACTTATGGTGAAGCGTACTTGCTTTACAACAAAAGTTCGTCGACGTCAAGCACACAGAACTCCATCGCCAATATCATCGCACACGAATTCACACACCAATGGTTTGGTAATCATGTAGCAGTTAGGTGGTGGACATATCTGTGGCTCAAAGAGGGTTTCGCGACACTCTTCTCATACCATGGCGTAAATGAGGTGAGTTTTTTTTATTGGCAATCAAAGCGGATAACGAATGCTATGCCACTTCTTATCACCTCTCTAATACTCCAACATATTTAGGTTAATCCCGAGTGGGACGTCTATCAAATAATGCATACTAACAACTACCAATCGGCGCTTATTTATGATGGTAGTGGTAGCGTGGTGCCCATGACCCATTATGCGCAAACACCCACCGAGATTTCAGCTCGGTACGGTACCTCTTCTTATGCCAAACCTTGCTCGGTACTTTTCATGTGGCAGCATGCTCTCGGCGATTCAGTATTTCGTTCCGGTTTGAACAAATATCTAACTCAGAAGTAAGTTTTCATATATAGTAGTGCTTTACTTGTTTATAAATTTCGCTTAAATCTTACTCAAACCACTAATGCAGCGCATTCGACTCTGCCGAGGAATGGGAGCTTTTTTCAGCACTGCAGAGTGCTGTTGATGAACACCAACTCAGCATTCCCGCGCGCATAGACGTTATGTTCCCCACATGGTCACAGCAATCTGGCTATCCACTACTAACAGTTACACGAAATTACAGCTCCAACACGTTCACGATCACCCAAACTGCTTACAATGATAACGTAAACATTACTTCGGACAAAACATACTACGTGCCATTCAACTATGTTGCCCGTTCCAAGTCAGACTTCCGTAATACAACGGCTTCGCATTACCTTCTCAATACCAGACAAATCACTATCACCGACCAAGAAGTTGCCGCTGATGATTGGTTGATTTTGAATAAACAATCCACGGGTTACTATCGCATTAACTACGATGAACAAAACTGGCATTTAATTGCTGATGGCTTGGTAGAGCAACCCCATAAAGTACATCACCGTAATCGCGCTCAGCTTATGTACGATGCTTACAGATTCGTCAACAACGATCGATTGGACATAAGCATTCT